TCAGCTCACATGATTTTATGGACACCAGTGGGTGTTTATACTCTCGAATCTAGGGAAGTGTGCACACTCTCAACACCAGTGGGGTGCTAAAAATATCGACACCGCTAGGGTGTTTATAATCGCTCAACATCAGTGGGGTGTTCCAACTCTTAACACCAGTAGGGTGCTCATAACTGCTCATCATGGCAATCTCATGGCTTAACTTGAAAACATGTGATGAATTTATGATTTTCTGTTTTATGCAAATCAAGTCAAAATATTTGAAATAGACATTCATTATTTGAAAAGATAAGGACTATTGATGCAAAATCCAAAATTGAGATTGATAATTATCACAAACTGTCTCAATTAGGTGGACATATGAGTGATCTTTTATTTCTTATGGCAAAAGCAAAAGCAAAAGGCAGTACATCTTTAACATGACAAACTATCTTGATATTTATTTGTTCTCAAAGATCCACATGATCCTTGAATCGAGCTTTGCTTCGCGGCGTGCATGCTAATTGTCATGACTAGGTAGAGGATTGTTGTGTATGTTTGGAGGGTTCGGCTCTTCTTCGAACTTCAACCAACCGACATTCATCATTTGTTAGACTTTGATCTTGAACTTTTGACAATCTTTAATTGAGTGTCCCGCGACTCCCGAGTGGTATGCATAGTGTTGATATGACTTGTACCAATTTGGATAAGGAGGTTGCATTGGAAGACACGGTATAGGGGCAATTAAGTGATTTTGGAGCAACTTGGGAAATAGCACGGTATATGTGATGGGGATAGGATCGATATGAACTTGTTTTCCGTATCTTCTGAAACTATTTTGATCTTGGTCATTGGTTTGTGGGGGCGTGGGTAGCAGAGTTTTGATTTCTAGTTGTGGGCTGATTATGCTTTGATGTTTCATCGATGTGGTAGTTGCAAAAGATGCACAAGCTCGATTCTTTTGAAAGTGGTGATTCGAAGGTTAACCTTTTGCTTTACCTTGAGTTGATCGCAATTCACATTTATTTCTTTTGCTTTGGATTGCCGTCTCAACCACTTCATGATTTTCTGACTTTCCTTGTCTGATGTCGATCACATGCTCTTCAAGCCTTTATGATCTTCGAGGATTGTCGTATTTTGATTTTTTTTTTGTAGCATGTACGTTCTTTGAGAGTAATAGGTCAGTCTGATCACTTGATGTTGCTTTCCTGGGTGGTTGGTATAAAATTTCATCATCGGACAACGCATCATCATCTTTTACTCCCGCTGTCTTCTCATTGTTTGACCAAATCCTCAGAATCACGCTCACTTCCTCTTTCATCTCTTCAAGACCAATCATTTTTCCTTGATTTCAGCTAAATACTTCATAATTGTCTCCATGATGAGTTAGGCCTTAGATCTTGTCGAACACTTAACGATTTGACTCTTTCCTCGTAGATGATCAATTTTTGGAACCCTAAACCATCTCAATTTTGAAAAATTATTTCCAATTTTTATGATGAATGTGTGTGCGTGATGCTTATGCAAAATGTTAATGATGTATGAATGCAAATTCATTTTTCATCTTATGCATGCGTTTTTAATCTTATGATAAGTTGTGAATGAGTGAATGAAAATCATATGACAGACTGATGTTTATGAGTTTTGAAAACGTTTTTCATTCATACAATCACACAGTTTTACGAGTAAAAGATAAAACGCACATCATTACATCGTAATCAAACATACATCTAGATAAGCAAATACATATCTTTACATCATTACCCTAATTAGGTAGACTTAGGGCTTTCGGACGGCGTAACAACATGGTTTCAGGGTGGCTTTGGGGATTGTTTTGGATGGTTGAGGGTAGCTTCTAAGTTTACTTCATGCTAGTTAAGGAATTCCTAGGAATTTGGCTACAAGTTGTATCCTGCCCTAGCCCTTTCGAACTGGTTGGATACCTCGAGATCATCCTCGGATCCGAGTTCAACTTGGTTGGAAAGTTTTGCGTGACTACCACTACTGTGGATGTCACGGTACTCCTTCCGATTTTCGAAAGGGATAGCTCGGGCATAGAGCTTTTGTGCATGAATGCAACATTTAAATTGCAAAAACATAATTGCGCAAATAAGAAGTAAACACCCAACATATTAAAGAAGGTTAGAAAAATTATCAAACTTATTTATGTAGCTCGACTCTCTGTGTTCCCATTGGAGTCGCCATCTATCGCAACCATCCCTCCGGGGTCGGGTCGCTTTCGCTTTTGGAGTCACCATCGACTTGGAGTGGAACGAACACTCTTCGGTTGGCTCTAACCTTAGGTCAGAACTGAGTCTTGGTCTGCGGTTAAGAGATTCGGGTTCGGCAGTACGGTTACGTGTGGGGAAGTGAAATCACACCCCACAACGCCCTAAATCGGTACTACTTAAGTTGATAAGTTTTAAACGAGTTGGGTGTTTTTAGTTTTTAAGTATTTTTTTAAATCCCAGTGGATCATTACTATATCGCCATCTGTCGCAACCATCCCTCCGAGGTCGGGTCGGGATCGCGTTCGCTTTTTGGAGTCCCCATCGATCTTACTTGGAGTGGATCGAACACTCTTCGGTCGGCTCTAACCTTAGGGTCAAAACCGAGGCATGGTCTGCGATTTCGAGATATGGGTTTGAGAGTACTGTTATGTGTGGGGAAGTTAAGCAACACCCCCACAACGCCCTAAATTGGTACTACTTAAGTTGATAAGTTTTATACGAGTTGGGTGTATTTAATGTATTTTTCGGGTCCCACTGGACCGCTAAAGATTTTTATCGTATTAATTTGTAATTTTGATTATACGCCCAGTGGCGTTCATTTCAAAAATAAATTTTATTAGTTAGTTGGACTCGAACCTTAGTGGTTGCCTACGTACCCGTAATACAAGATCAAAGTCCACGTAGTTCATTAATTTTTTATGTTTTAGTTATAACCACATTCCACTGATCGTGACTCTCGTATTAAGGATTTTGTTAATAAAATTTGAATAGGTTATTACGAGGTAGTTAAGAGAAACATAAGAATTTTATTTGTTAGGAAGATATTTGATGTATTAGAAAAGAAACATGATTAATGATGACTCGATATTTGCACATGTTTTCCCCTTTGTTTCTTGACTGTTTGAGCTTTAATTATCATGTCTTTGGCCTATTTTATGCTAGGTTGTGCTCCTTTGTCACATTTCAGGTCCTAGCACATAAAGTGAAGCATAGACGCAAGTTTCAAGTCAATCAGAGATCATTTGGCGATTAGGGAGAAGAAACTCGGGCATGACATGAAGACGAATGGATTTCTACCTCACTTTATGGACAAATAATCATGAAAGATTGTCATGAAAAGAAAGAGGACATGACTACGAGCGTCTGGGATCAAACGGCAACTGATTCAGAGTCCGGACGAGGGAGAAACGAAACATTGAATATAGGGGAACAGGTTCGGCAGTAAAAACACGGGCGCGCCTAAATCAAAACACGGCCGTGCCCATATTTAGGCACGACCGTGTTTTGGCCGACGCGCGCGGGCGTGTTCTTAACACGGGGCAAAACACTGGCGGGCAAAAGTAAAACACGGCCGTACCCTCAACCGTGTTTTGCCCAGAATCGGGTTTTCGAGGCAAATTCAAGCCAAAGGAAAGGGGGAGCTGGGTTTTGGATCCCAAACACCCAAGGGACGAACCAAAGAGAGAGATAGGGCGATTTGAGGGCATTCTAAGAGTGGAATTGGAGGATTTCTTCGCCATGGAAGCTCGAGGAACAAGCCCAGACTTGAAGACTGATCATCTGAAGATTCTTACTGCAGTCTCTCTCTTCTCTATGGAGTAAATTCCCTGCACTTAGGTTTTGAGGAACCCTAGCTATGTTTGTTTGATTGGATGATTGTATGAGTACTCCTACTTGATAATCTTGAGTTCATATTCAATCTATGCACGTTTTCATGATTCAATTCTGCTTTAGTCGAGATTATTGATTATGCTTTGATCCTATGAGAGCGAATACCTGATTAGGTCAATAGAGCACCATAGATTGATAGTATTGGATCGATTGCTTTAGTCGAGGGTTGATTCAATGCTTTGTATCGATTGAGAACCTCATTCGATAGAGGGAATCTAGTTCAGAACGCCTTGATCGGTTGTTCTAGAGAAGGATACGTCCCTCTAGGCAATTGACTCAAGAGGGCCTTGTTCCTTTAGTCGAGACTCAAGGTCTAGTTAAGGATTATCCGCATTGTGAATGAAAGTGAAACAGGTTAGAGATCATCAATCATTAATCTGGCTAGTGGCTAGGGGGAATCATACCTAAGTGAGTTCCCAACCTGTAATTAGATTGACTTTAACTGTAGTTTGCTAGAGTAGTTTTAGTTCTTCCTTATTAGTCTGGTTTCTAAATAATGAACTGAAGCTGAGTAATAGTAACTCTAGAGACCCATGGATTCGATATTTATTACTTGAGCCACTATACTGCAGTCCCTTCCATTGGTTACACTTGGCCATTGTTAGGTGTTGTGTCATAGCGAGTCAATTAACTTAATCCGCATTCAAAATTTCGTATTAAGAATAGTAAATTATAAAATGAAACAGAATGATTAGATTTATGCATGATGGGCCAGCAACCCAACTAGCTAAAGCGCCAGTCGAATAGCGCATTCGTACCTGAGTACACGCGTTCTGAACTCGCTCTCAATTTTTTTTGTGATTTTCTTTTTTTAGTGCAGAGATGTGGGAAGGGCACTTTGGTATTTACTCAGAAAGATAGTGGTAGGGGTATGTAATTTCAGCGAAACCCTAAGGGTATTTTAGTCGTTTTAAAACGTTAATTATATATTCTTCTTTGGAAATCCTAAAAGGACATAGCGGCCGCCTCTCACTCTCGCCTCTCGCCTCTCGCTTCTCGCCTTTCTCTCTCGTCTCTCTTTCCCCATCTGCAACAAACACAACGAACAAAGAAGAATAGAAAAAAAATTGCCTTCTTCCTCTTTTCTCTCATTCTTCCTCTTCTTCCTGCCTGGAAAACGAAAACCTAATCGAGACCCTTCTCCTCTCCTCTAGCCACCTTCTCTCTCTCGATTCTTTCTTCCACGAACCAACATGAAAAACTCGCCCTGAAATCTCCTCTCACCTCTTCTATGTCGAGACCAAATGGAGTCAGGTGACCAAAAAGATCCTCGATAATTGCAACCCGAAGGTCGCCGGCGGCACGAACGACGAAGGTGAGTTTTTTAGGTTGCATGCTGAATTTTCTTTGGTTTCGGATTTGAGTTTTTAGGGTTTTCGGAATTATAATCTCCCTTTTCTGTTTTACTTTCGAAAATTGACCGACCACCGAGAGGGGCTTCACGGTCAGCTTCCTTTATTTCTCGATCTATCCATCCTAGTTGGCACGACGGCCACAATGAAACGACCTTACCCTCTGGTAAGCCTCTCTTAACATGCATGTTTAGATAAAAAATTTCTCATAAAAAGTTATTTTAATCTTGATTTTGTAGGTTTTTTGTTCAAGCAGAATTCTAATTTTTCTGGGTTTTAGTTTTGGACTAGGGATTTGGTCGAGGAGAGGAAAGATAGAGAGGGAGCCGTCGGTGATGGGGTTATTTCGTCAATGCCAACGAGATCTAGGTTAGGTTTAGATTTTCATGTAGAGTTTTCTTTGGATTTTCGAGTCCAAAGACGAGTTTCTGATTATCTTCTTTTCCTTGGCTTTGGTTTTGGTCGGCGGCGAGACCATGGTGGGGACAACATTGTCTCAAAATGAAAGGTAATATTTTGACTCCTAAATTAACGTTAATCTGTCATTTTTATTTAGTAATAAAAATACTTAAATCTAATTCAAAACTTTATCCTTCTTTCTCGCATGTTTTGGGAAAGGCAGAACTTAGGTGAGGTTCCTCTAAACCCGAGAGATTAATCTAAAAATGAATTTTTTTGGTTAATTGTTTCTAGAGTTGCTACCAGATCCGGGTTTTTGAAAAATGGGTATTTTATGTGCTTTGGGCTCTTATTTTGCAAGTTAATTTCATAAAAACAAAGTAGTTTATAAAAAGTCTAGATCATTCATGATCACCGCCACTGCTTGCGATCACTAAACTAAAATAAACTAAAGTTTCCAGCAATCTGGTTTGATTGGGATTTTGTGATTTATTAATATGAAAGCTAATGAGGGTTTTATGAAAATAAAATATGTAATAATATAGCGATATGTAGATCTAAATCTAGTAAATCGAATCTAGGGTTTCGAAGCTGATTTCATATTCTAGGGTAGCAAACTCTGCATATGTGTGTTGTATATGTGTTTGATTATACGTGTGATGCATGTTTGGTTAGGTTCCGGTGTTTGGTTGTTGATGAGGACATCAATGGGCCAGTCACACGTGCTAAGGCAAGGACATTGAAGGAGAAGCTTGCGACATATTTGGAGAGCTACTTTGGAGCCATGGATGTGGAGCTATTTCGAGGGAAGCCATATATGATGATTCGAGTGGAGGAAGAAGGAGGAAGTGCTGAAGAGAAGGAAGATTGCAAGAAGCAGCCTTAACGGGTTTGCTTAACGGGTCCAGGCTTAACGGGTTTACTTAACGGGTCCAGGCTTAACGGTTTGGGCTTAACGGGTTTGCTGGGCTGTTTCCGAGTTTCCTTGTATTAAAGTCGGTTTGTGATTGTTTTCCATGTTGGAGTCGGATTTGGGTTGTACTTTGCCTATTTAAAGGGATGAACACATTGGTTTTGCCCTTAGACGATTATTATTGAATTTCAGAGGCTAAAGCCGAGTTCCCTACGCGGAATTTGCCCTAATTACCCTGTCGAGAATCTCCAGAGTGCTAGAGCGACTCTTATCAGCTAGGTAATCACCCTGGTTGTGGCGAGCTACCCATATCGAGTGCCCTTTATTCCGAGTTGAATCTGTCCGATCGATTCATATATCGATTGCCCTTATTCACGGGTGAGTACTGTCCGATCGATTTCCATCCTATCCGGTTCTGTTTGGTTCGAGAAGCTTGACCCTGCGCAAATTTGATTATATCAAGTGGTATCAGAGCTAAGGTTCAAATTAGTGGCGTGTTCTTGAAGTTTTTTTGAAGATCTTGTGTGTTCTTGTTTGTGTTCTTGGTGGTTTTGTGAGAGTTCTTGAAGGTCTTGGCGTGTTCTTGAGCCGCAAGACAGGAGGTTGTTTGTGCTTGGGAGTTCTTGGTGTTTCTTGCGAGGCAAGAAGAAGGTTGTGCGAGTTCTTGTGTTCTTGGAGTTTTCTTGCATCGCAAACATGGAAGCAGCACTCGAAGCGATCAGAAATCAATTGGAGAACATTGCTCATGCTCAAGAAGAGCAAACAGCAAGGCTTGCCGATCAAGCCACGAGGATGGAGGCTGTCGAGACAAGGCTCCAGCAGCCGGTTGTGGTCGATGCAAACCCTAACCCTAGACCTCGACAAGAAGAAAGGGGAAGGGAAAACCGAGCTCCTCCACCCTTGGTTCACGAAGTACAGCGTCATATGCACTAGCATACCGCCTTGGAATGCCTCGAGCTGAAAGGAGAGGGCGGCAGCAGCATCATGAAGAGGAGTTTAATGACGAGGAAGAAGAGGGCTTTGAGGAGGATGATGATTTTCGAAACCTCAAGGTCACGATTCCACCTTTTCGCGGTACCACGAACCCTGATGCTTATTTGGATTGGGAGCGAAAGATGGAACTAGTGTTTGATTGTCATAACTACTCCGAGAAGAAGAAAGTGACATTGGCTGCCCTAGAGTTCTCAGATTATGCACTTGTTTGGTGGGATCAGTTGGGAACGAAACGAAGGAGAAACAGGCAGCGTCCTATTGAGACGTGGGATGATATGAAAGGAATTATGAGGGATCGGTTTGTACCGAGTTCACATTTGCGAGATATGTATCAAAACCTCCAGCTTCTCCGGCAAGGAACTAAAAGCGTTGAAGATTATCACAAGGAGTTGGAAGTGTTGATGATACGTGCTGATGTGAGAGAGGACCGCGAGGCTACCATAGCTCGTTTTCTGTATGGTCTCAATCGAGATATCAAGAACGTGGTGGATATACAACCGTTCCTTGAACTTGAAGATTTGTTGGATATGGCAATTAAAGTGGAACGACAGCTTCGAAATAGGAGGTTTCAACCCTCCATGAATTCCACACGTTCGAACCAAGGAGTTGCAACCAACCCTAAGTTGCAACTGCCCGTGAAAGAAGCTCCTAGACCCGCGGCAAGGGCTGATGGTGCAAATCCAGTTATGAAGCAAGGTGGATCGTCGGGGGAAATTCGTTGTTTCAAATGCCATGGAAGAGGATACATTGCGAGCCAGTGTGCCAATAAGAAGACTCTGATCTTGCTTGATAATGGTGAGTATGTATCGGAGGAAGAGGAAGAGACCACTGATTCTGATGTCGATGAATCTATAGAAATGGAACCACCTCCAGGCAGCTTGTTTGTAGCACGGAGAGTATTGTCTGGCAGCCTAAGGAGGAGAGTGAACAGAGAGAAAATATCTTCCATACGAGCTGTGTAGTTGATGGGAAGTTGCTGTCTCTAGTGATCGATGGAGGAAGTTGCACGAACGTTGTGAGCGCGTGTGTGGTGAAGAGGCTAGGGCTGCCTACGTTGAAGCATCCAAAGCCATACACGCTGCAATGTCTTAACGAACACGGATCCATAAAAGTCACAAAGCAGACACTAATGAAGTTCGAGATTGGAGACTACAAAGATGAGATTTTGTGTGATATAGTGCCTATGCAAGCTGCACATGTGCTTTTTGGCAGGACATGGCAATTTGATCGACAAGCACAACATGATGGAGTGACAAATAAGTACAAGTTGCAACATGGAGGAAAGAAGTTCGTGTTGAAGCCTCTGCCTCCAAGTGAAGTATAACGAGATCAACTGCAAATGCAGCAACGTCGAGAGCAAGAAAAGGCAAGTAATGCCTCGGCCAAGAAAGGAGAAGAGGGAGCTGGAATTGTGGATTCAAAGGTAGTGATGCTAGCACGCAATGGAGATTTGAAGCAAGCTGGCTGTGCACGAGAACCTTTGATTGTGCTCATGTACAGGGAGTGCTGCTCAATCAAGAGCTAGTCCAAGAAGTTCCAACCGAAGCAAGAGTGGTGTTGGATGAGTTCGAGGATGTGTTTCCAGAGGAAGCACCAAAGGGGCTGCCTCCTATTCGCGGAATTGAGCACCAAATTGATTTCGTGCCGGGAGCTCAAATTCCAAACAAGGCAGCATATCGAGCTAACCCGGAAGAGACCAAAGAGCTGCAAAGGCAGATTGACGAGCTCATGGAGAAGGGGCATGTTCGAGAAAGTTTGAGCCCGTGTGCAGTTCCGGTGATTCTCGTGCCAAAGAAGGATCACACCTGGCGGATGTGTGTAGACTGCCGAGCCATCAATCAAATTACAGTTAAGTATCGTCATCCAATTCCACGATTAGATGATATGCTTGATGAATTACATGGCTCTACGGTTTTTTCCAAGAATGATTTGAGATCAGGTTACCACTAAATTTGTATGAAGGAGGGAGACGAGTGGAAGACTGCGTTTAAGACCAAGCATGGTCTATACGAATGGATGGTGATGCCCTTTGGTTTAACCAATTCTCCTAGCACGTTCATGAGGCTGATGAACCATGTTTTGTGGCCATTCATTGGCAAGTTCGTGCTCGTATAATTCGACGACATTCTGATCTACTCGAAGTGCATGGAGGATCATCTCAATCACTTGAGAGAGGTGTTGGCGATGTTGAGAAAGGAGAAATTGTATGCTAACTTCAAGAAGTGCTCGTTTTGCACTTCTAGTGTTATTTTTCTTGGTTTGTGGTGAGTGCAGATGGGGTCAAGGTGGATGAAGAGAAGGTGAAAGCAATTCGCGATTGGCCTATTCCAACCAACGTGAATGAGGTGCAGAGCTTTCATGGGCTTGCTGGATTTTATCGTCAATTTGTGCCCAACTTCATCACCATTGCCACACCATTGACATCCATCATCAAGAAGAGCGTGACGTTCTATTGGGGAGAGGAGCAGACCAGAGCATTCGAGCTGCTCAAGCACAAGCTCACGTGTTCACCTATTCTGATGTTGCCGGATTTCAATAAGACATTCGAGGTGGAGTGTGATGCTTCTGGTTTGGGAATTGGAGCAGTGTTGATGCAAGAGAAGAAGCCGATTGCTTACTTCAGCGAGAAGTTGAGTGGGGCTGCCCTCAACTATCCGACGTACGACAAGGAGCTTTATGCTCTAGTTTGAGCCTTAGAGACATGGCAGCACTATCTTTGGCCGAAGGAGTTCGTGATTCACACTGATCACGAGTCGTTGAAGTATTTGAAAGCTCAACACAAGCTGAACAAGAGACATGCTCGATGGGTTGAGTTCATTGAGTCCTTTCCATACGTGATCAAGTACAAGTAGGGCAAAGAAAATGTAGTTGTTGATGCCCTATCTCGAAGGCATTCGTTGATCACGACAATGGGGGTGAAGTATTTGGGTTTCGAGCATATCAAGGAGCTCTATTCTGATGCTGCTGACTTTGGGGAGATCTATAAAGCTTGTGAGCAGCATGGCGATGGGAAGTTCTATCGAAGTGATGGCTACTTGTTTCGAGCTAACCAGTTGTGTATTCCTCGATCATCACTTCGAGAGTTGTTGTTGAAAGAGGCTCATGGAGGAGGCTTAATGGCACATTTCGGTGTAGACAAGACACTGAGTTGTCTACTAGAGCACTTCTATTGGCCGCACATGAAGGGAGACGTGGAGAATCTGTGTGCGAGGTGTGTGGAGTGCAAGGAGGCCAAGTCGAAGGTGCAATCATCTGGATTGTACACACCGCTACAGATTCCATATGCTCCATGGATCGACATCTCTATGGATTTTGTGCTTGGTTTGCCGCGGACAAGGAAGGGAAGAGATTCGATTTTCGTGGTGGTGGATCGATTCTCGAAGATGGCACACTTTATCCCATGCCATAAGACTGACGATGCGGTTAACGTGGCTGATTTGTTTTTCAGGGAAGTGGTGCGCTTGCATGGGATGCCGCGTTCCATAGTATCCGATCGAGATACTAAGTTTCTGAGTTTCTTCTGGAAGACGTTGTGGAGCAAACTGGGGACGAAGCTGTTGTTCTCTACTACATGTCATCCTCAAACCGATGGGCAAACAGAGGTGGTCAATCGAACATTATCCCAGATGCTTCGAGCTGTGATCAAGAGCAACATCAAGGTTTGGGAGGACTGCCTTCCCCATGTAGAGTTTGCTTACAACAGGATGGTGCACTCGACGACGAAGTTCACTCCGTTTGAGCTCGTGTATGGTTTCAATCCACTCACTCCTTTGGATTTGATGCCATTACCTTTGAATGAGCAGGTCAATCTCGATGGAGCCAAGAAAGCTGAGTTCGTGAAGAGTTTACATGAGAAGGCGAGATTGAAACTTGAGAGAAGGATGGAGCAGATCATGCGCAATGTGAACAAAAACAGGAAACCGAGGCAGTTTGTAGTTGGCGAATGGGTGTGGGTGCATTTGAGGAAGGAGAGGTTTCCCCAGCAGAGGAAATCAAAGTTAATGCCCCGATGTGATGGTCCTTTCCAGGTGGTTTCGAAGATTGGAAGAAATGCCTACAAGATCGACTTGCCGGGAGAGTATGGAGTAAGTGCAACGTTTAATGTTTCTGACCTTGCACCTTATTTGGATGGCAATTCGGATTTGAGGGAAAATCCTTTTGAAGAAGGAGGGGCTGATGAGGACATCAATGGGCCAGTC